GGGGAGACTGCATGTACAAGCGTCGGGAATTCAACTGATCTCCGAGTTAGGGAGGCAAGACAGGGTGGGGAGCCCCGTCCGGGAACCCACGGGCCGAGGTGTCTCTGAGATCTCAGCTTGAGCCCTGGCTGTCGGGCTGGAGCCCTCCTCACCTCCCGCCTGAGAGGAGGCGGGGCCCAGGGGAGTGACGGGAGCAGTCGAGATGCGGAAACGCCAGCCCTCCGAGGCAGGCCAGAGCGGCCCCATCTGGCCAGCGTGGCGTAGTGCGGAGCTAGAGCGTCCGGCAGGAGGAATAGAGTCACCTGTCAGGAGCCGGGCTAGAGCGGCTGGCGGGAGGAGTGGAGTTAGAATCAAAGGTGGCCTCGGAGGCGGCTAGAGCGGCTTGGAAGGGGGGTAGGGGGGAACCGGGAGCCGACGCGCGGCGGCTTCGGTCCTGGCAGCAGCGGTGGCTTCTCCGACCCCGAGCAGGTGAGGGACGCGGCCCCCGCGGGCGTCAGACCGTGACTCCGCACGTCCGCCCCAGCATCCCTGGAAGTGCACCCCGCCACTTTCCCTGTAGGATTTGGGGCCCATGTAGACCCGCCACGTCCCATATAGCTTTTGGGGCTCGTGTAGACCCGACACGTTCCATGTAGATACAAGGTTCTACAGACACCCCAGGTTTCTGCCAGCCCCCTGTGGAGACCCGGCTCCTTACAGACGTGGAGTCCCCAACTAGGGGGTCAGTAGCATCCCCTAGATTCCAGGGCCCTGTAGATCCACCACAGGCCCCTAGAATTCTGGTCCCCTTTTAAGTCTCCAGAGATCCCATAGACTGGCTGCTTTCTCCACGGTTTCATGATCATGTGTGACCCACCATGTGTCAGATGGAATCAGGGCCCCTTAGGGAATAACTACTCGATTTTAGGTTCTACAAGTCTCCCAGAGGTTCTTAGAGACCGAGACCATCCGTTCAATATCTTATAGACTGAGCCCTGCAGAGAACTCAGGTGCCCATGCTGCCCCCTGCGTGTGCCAGCTTTGCTCTAGGATCTCCACCCCTAGACCTGCCCTGACCCCCGCCAGCCCCATGCACAGAGCACCCCCTCTGCTGGATCTCAGGCCTTGTCAGTTGCCTACAGGTCCATTTTTCAGCTTCAGCCTTTGTGGCAGCCCCTCATCCCCCCTGCCCACTAAGCAGCCAACCCCGCTCCCCCATCCTCCCTCAGCCCCAACCCTCTGTGGCACAGCGGAGTCCTGCCTGCATTCCGGCCAGGCCACAGTGCCCACATATCCCTGACTTTCCCAGACCATAGAGAGAGAGACCTGGTGTGTCTCGGCTTCGGTTCAGATTTTAGTTTCCTAAGGTTGGGGTTCCCCATGCTCCGAAGCAGCACATTCTGGTAGTTAACTGCATAAACTCTGAAGCCAGACTGCCTGGGGCTGAGTCCTGTTCTGTGCCTTACGAGCTGTGTCTAAGTTTCCTCCTCTGTGAAATGGGGGTGATGATAATGACCTCATGGGGTCGCTGAGAGGATTAAGTCGGTTAATACCTATAAAGCAGTAGTGCTGCCACTTAATGGCACTTAGTGCACATTAAGCCTTAGTCATTATTTCAAGGAGATAATCCATGCCAAGTGCATGACTTGGGGGCCTGCCTGGCATTCGCTCAGATAACCTGTGCTCTTCTGGAATCTCCCTGCTTCTGTTGAACCTGTCCACTCCTAACGGGACGAGCGTGGACTCTCCATGTGCATGGTCATGTTTTCCAGCCCAGAAGTCTGAGCTGGCAGCCCAGGGAGGGTTTTCCCTCTCTGGTGCGAGTCACGATGGCATGGGCTGCTCGTGGCTATGAGGGTTGAGCTCTGTGTGAGAAGCCCTCGGAGCAGTGCCCGGCACCCTGTAAGTGCTGTGTAAGTTTAGCTCTCATAATAAATAGTTACTATTGTTTTCCTGCCTTGGTTTGCAGTTTTATTTATGTGAACATTTAACAATGCTCAAATCTTAAATTACTCAAATTTGGACGTTGGACACATACCCTTTATGGAAAAGAATAAAAATGATGCTGCTCCGGGGAGCCCCATGGGATGGCGTTTGGACTCTCCGGGAAGCATCATTGTTTAATGATCATAATCAGAATCACAGCTGCCATTGACTGAGGGTTAAGGCGGCCTATGAAAGAGGGGGAAGGGTGAGTCTCAGGCAGCTAGGGTTATAAATAGCTCTGGGTTGTGGGGAGAAGTCGTCCCCCCCCCACTGGTCCACCCCACTCTTGTTTCCACAGCTCTTCCCGCCTGACATGGGCTCTTGTGACATTCGTCAGATTAATTAAGGACACAGAAGATACCGGTGGGAAGACACAGGGAGAAGTGGAGACTAAGGGAGATGACATGGGATATGAGATATGAGACATGGACTCAGAAGTGCAGGGACAGGGGCTACAGAACCCAATGTGGGAAGACAGAGGCAGGGACAGATGAAGGGAAAAGCGGGGAGCAACAGATGCCGGATGGGGCCGGGAGGAGGGAGAGGAGGCAGAGACAGTGGGGAAAATGAGACAGGTCTGAAGGAAGGGAGAGAGAAAATGAGGAAGAGAGGCACTGATGAGGTAGATTCAAGGGAGATATAGCCAGGGAGTGCTGTCTGGTGAAAGGGGAGCCAGCAAGACAGACAGACACAGACAAGGGAGACAGACACACCTTGGGGATGAACTGTCTGAGGACTGTTCCTTGTTTTTCTGGGACTGAAAGCCAGAAATATGTCAGGTCCTCGAGGGAAAGAACTCCTGGGTTGGGGGACTCTTGGTCCTTGAGGGAGAAGGGTTCAGAGTTTGTTTTCTTATGCGGAGAGAGTTGGGGGTTGGGGGACTTGCCATTGTGACTTCCTGTCACAGGAAGTGGGGCTGGTGGGTTCAGAGGCAACATCCTGCCCCAAGCCTGTCACAGATCAGAAGAGAGCCCCCACACACCCCATTTATATACCTCCTACCTCCCTTTAACCTTCCCAACTCTGCTGGTCTGCACGCCCTGCCTCCCCGAGGCCCAGCCCCCAGCCCCTCCTCTTCAGACCCAGGAGTCCAGGCCCCCAGCTCCTCCTCCCTCAGATCCCAGAGTCTGAGCCCCCAGCCCCTCCTCTTTCATACCTTGTCCCCTTTCCCCCCAATCCTTCAGAACTCCC